AACAAGACAGGGATGCCCCCTCTCACCACTCCTGTTCAACATAGTACTGGAAGTGTTAGCCATTGCAATTCGGCAAGAAGAAGAAATAAAAGGCATCCAAATTGGAAAAGAGGAAGTAAAACTGTCCTTATTTGCAGACGACATGATATTATACATACAAAACCCTAGAGACTCCATCAAAAAGCTACTGGACTTAATACATGAATTTGGCAATGTAGCAGGATACAAAATTAACCCCAAGAAATCCGAGGCATTTCTATACACCAATAGTGAACTTTCAGAAAGAGAGATTATAAAAACAATCCCGTTTACCATCGCACCAAAAAAATTAAGCTACCTAGGAATAAACTTAACTAAAGAGGTAAAAGACCTCTACTCAGAAAACTACAGGACGTTGAAAAAAGATATAGAGGAAGACATAAACAGATGGAAGAACATACCGTGTTCATGGATTGGTAGAATCAACATCATTAAAATGTCCATACTACCCAAAGCAATCTATAAATTCAACGCACTTCCCATTAAAATACCAACGGCATACTTCAGAGATCTAGAACGAACTCTCCAAAAATTCATCTGGAATAAAAAAAGACCTCGAATAGCTGCAGCAATCCTGAAAAAGACCAAAGTAGGTGGGATCTCAATACCAGATATCAAGATGTATTACAAAGCCACTGTTCTCAAAACTGCCTGGTACTGGCACAAGAATAGGCATATAGATCAATGGAATAGAATAGAGAGCCCAGAAATCGGCCCAAACCAATATGCTCAATTAATATTTGACAAAGGAGGCAAGAACATACAATGGAGCCAAGATAGTCTCTTCAATAAATGGTGCTGGGAAAATTGGACAGATATATGCAAGAAAATGAAACTAGACCACCAACTTACACCATACACAAAAATAAACTCAAAATGGATAAAGGACTTAAATGTACGACAGGAAACTATAAAAATTCTAGAAGAATCCAAAGGCAACAAAATCTCAGACATATGCCGAAGCAATTTCTTCACTGATACAGCTCCTAGGGCACTTGAAACTAAAGAGAAAATGAACAAATGGGACTACATCAAAATAAAAAGCTTCTGCACAGCAAAAGAAACCATCAACAAAACAATGAGAAAACCCACTGTGTGGGAAAACATATTTGCCAATGTCATATCCGATAAGGGCCTAATCTCCAAAATTTATAGGGAACTCATACAACTTAACAAAAGGAAGATAAACAATCCAATCAAAAAATGGGCAAAGGACCTAAATAGACACCTTTCAAAAGAGGACATTCAGAAAGCCAAGAGACATATGAAAACATGCTCAAAGTCACTAATCATCCGAGAGATGCAAATCAAAACAACAATGAGGTACCATCTCACACCTGTCAGACTGGCTATCATCAACAAATCAACAAACGACAAGTGCTGGAGAGGATGTGGAGAAAAAGGAACACTTGTGCACTGCTGGTGGGAATGCAGACTGGTGCAGCCACTATGGAAGACAGTATGGAGTTTCCTTAAAAAACTGAAAATGGAACTCCCATTTGACCCTGTGATCCCACTTCTAGGAATATATCCCAAGAAACCAGAAACACCAATCAGAAAGGATATATGCACCCCTATGTTCATAGCAGCACAATTCACCATAGCTAAGATCTGGAAACAGCCTAAGTGCCCATCAGTAGATGAATGGATTAGAAAACTGTGGTACATCTACACGATGGAATACTATGCTGCTCTAAAAAGGAAGGAACTCTTACCATTTGCAACGTCATGGATGGAACTGGAGAGCATTATGCTAAGTGAAATAAGCCAGTCAATGAAGGAAAAATACCACATGATCTCACTCATTCATGGATAATACAGACCATTATAAACTTTTGAACAATAATAGATACAGAGGCAGAGCTGCCTCAAACAGATTGTCAAACTGCAGCAGGAAGGCCGGGGAGGGTTATGGGGCAGGAGGTAGGGGGGTAAGAGATCAACTAAAGGACTTGTATGCATGCATAGAAGCATAACCAGTGGACATAAGACATTGGGGGATAGGGGAGGCTAGGGGACTGTCTAGGGCGGGGGGATAAAATGGACACATATGTAATACCCTTTGTAATACTTTAAGCAATAAAAAAAAAAAAAAAAAAAAAAAAAAAGAAACTATATGACAGTACTATACTCATCAGAAAAATCTAATGCTTACAAATACTATCACATCAGAGAAAACATTAAACACCAATATAATTAAATTGAATAACAATAATGTTAAATCACACAGACTGGTGTTTAATCTTTAATAATGAGCGACCAAAAAGATTTCACTATTTCAGGGCTACTGATGGGTTAAGCATAAATCGTGATCACATACTATAAAATGCCCACTCATATTTTTAGGATTACTGAATATAAGAAACTATATTAAAACTTAAATTATCAGTTTAAGTGTTATTTCATAATATTTTCTGATGTTCATGAATTGTCTTCTATTTCACAGAATTTATAAGGAAATTTGAAAACACAAAAACAAAAACTACTCTATTAGTTATCTTTTATCATTTCCATCTGTGGACCTAAGAATTTATATGTATGTTTATAAAACAGAGGAAAAAGGTTACTGCTACCATTTTGTATTCCCTATTAGTGTGACTACTGCGACTTTAGGTTGAGGGCTTACATCTAAATCAATTGAAAATCACTGAAGATTTAAGAAAATAAAACTGAAGTACCAGTTTTTCTAATTCTGGATTTGGATTAAAAGTCCAAAGTAGCAAAAATATAAACTCATATTTTCTACTCTACAATTTGCTTGGAGAGTTTTATTTTGGAGAAAATACAGTTTCCAACCAACCAAGATACAGACATGAAATGTATCTACTGCTTAAAATACTTTATTGAAATTTACGTCAGCAATTTTTCATACTTTATGATTACCAGAAAATAACATACTATCACCCTAACAAACCTCACCCTCATGACTGTATCTCAGTTGAAATAGAATATGTGAAGGTGAAACATATTAAGAACAAGTGTCAGCATTATATCTACCAAATTTTTTTTGTAATAAAATTGCTTTAAACAGTAGTAAAAACTAATAAAATGAAGTTTCTGACACCTTAAAACATATACAAGAAAGTTAAACAAATGCCAAACCTAGCTCAATATAGCTGATTAGAAGATTTAATTTTAATACTCATTTTTGAGAAATTACATTTAACCATGTGGAGACAAACAGTAAATAGACTACATCAAAGGCACAGGAAACTAGAATATAATATTGCCTTAAAAGGAATGCAAGACAGAGCCTCCCATGAATGACAGCATGAATAATCTTGCTTTCTTCTGAAAGACCCAAATATTTATTGCCTATGCTGTTAAAATATCTTCGTAATCTTTATGAAAAAGCACCAACATTGTTTTTCTATACTAGAATATTTAAAAAAACCTCAGACTATATCAAACTTTGACTGTTTATATAAAACATTTTTCAGAGATGGTATTAAGGATAATTTTCAGTGATCAGTAGGGTAGTCCAACATAATACAAACAAAATTGCAACTTGTCTGCCCAATCCCTATCTCTGAATGCTCACAACGAACGCACTGTACTTTGTTACCTAACTAAAGATAAGGACAATATGTTTATTGTCCTTCTCAGACGAGTTTTATTTTTCCTTTCCCAGAAAAATAAAAATGTAATTGTTTAATTAGTGCTAACATCCTAGAAAAGCAATTTTGAATAAAGTAACTCACATTAAAATTGAATAAATATTATTCATCAAATAAGGTTTAATGGAAGAGTTTATTAATCGACATAGTATCTGCAACAGACACTGAGTGGCTCAACTCTAAACCAAGAAATCAGAAACTAACCAATTATGACCCCTTGTACATTTTTAAAAGATTGCCAACTCCTGATCTACAGAGTGATGACAGTTTAAATCTATTTTTTCCAAGATTGCTATAAAGACAATTACAAAAGGATTTATTTATAATTTTGGATGGTGAACAGTCCTACACTTTTCTCAGATAGTAAAAAAAGATATGCAATAGTGTCCTTATCAAGCCATATTCTGTATTTAATCTTTATCTTTGGAGGCTGCCTCCTAGGCAAAGGAGATTCAGCATTAATTATGAATCGAGAACAGAAAATTGCAAATTTAAAAGTAAAATTCAGAATTTGCACACACAAAAAATAAATTAAAATTTAAGTATAAAAAACAGTATGTGCCTTTATTTCGGGTATTTGAAAAAAATTCTTATTTGTGAAAGGGGTAGTAAATAACCAGTTCTAATTTTATACACAGTGACAGTGATATTAAGATATATATAGATCTTGTTACTTCAAAACCAACAAGTTAAGTTGGAAGAGGGTATAGAAAGAGTAGGACAAAAAGGGAAGCTCCATGGAGAAACAGGGGAAAAAGGCAGTGATCTCTTATATCCCCAAATTAAAGATCTTTAAGGAAAAGTGATGTGTTAGAATATGTATACAAAAGGAGGTTCATAAAAATTTTTTTTAATCTTAACTTCACATTAAGGTAAAATAAAAAAAAGATTTAAATATAATTTTATTTAGAGTTAGAAGATTGGTGACCATAAAATATTTATTCTCTAACATTCCCATCAATGTCAAAACAAAACAAAACAAAACAGAAACAACCAACCAAGAGACTTCTACTGAATATGGTAGAGATCTCACTAGCTTTTTCTTCTTCTCAGAGAGCCTAGGTTTTCTGTTTGGAATTATATTTTTGCATGAAGTGATATTTAATCTTCCACTATGTGGTAATCAATTATATGCCACCCAATTGAGGAACACTGATAAAGATATTCTATTACCAGCACTAGAATGAATGAGTCAAATGCGTATGTGTAAATATTCCACAAAAATAGAAAATTCTCAAAACATATATAATACTCATGTTCTGACATACAAAACCCAAGTCTACTCTTCTTGTATTACTGACTCTCACAAAACACATGAGTTTCACATTGTTTGGAAATACCTACCTGAATAGCTGAATTCATGAAACACGTATTTCCCAAGTTACTTAGGCCACAGAGGCCTGGCTGTTCATTGTTTCTTCCAGGTTCTGAATAATCATAGTTCTTATAAGCAGTATATGATGGGAGACAATAATTTGAGTTTTTCACACTGGAAGAAAACAAAAAATATTTTTCACAATGCAATCAATGATCACAATGTAGTTATAATGAACAGAGTACTTTCAACTTATTTGAATTAGGTGGTCAGTCATTGACTTTTTTATAAAGCACTTAATTCAGGATCTTTTTAATATTCCCTTAATTAAGACACTCCTCATCCAATCAACAAATCACTGCATCTTGTATCACACCAACAAAAACAAACCATTGTATCTTTCTACCCTTGATTAACTGGAGCAGCTTCACAGCTTGCTCCATCCTCCATTGCTCCATCAAATTTAAAACATTTAGATTTTAAACACCACCCGCAGCAATAAATCATCTCATTTATGTCCCTTTTACATCCTGCTATTGTAAGAGAATAGTAGAAACATGAAGGGTTGTACCTTAGTTACAAATCAGACCAGAATTTAGAAGGCCTCTGTGACATCACTGTACTGATGCACTGAAAGTTCTATTTATAGTTTCTAGGCTAGACCAGCAAAATCTGGTATTCAAATGTGAAAAAAGCCAGGGGTGATCAGGAATGCAAAAATGAAATGATTCTAACCAAGTACATTCCAGAATTATTTGGCTTTTCTTTCTTCTAGGTTGTTAGAATAATGCAGTTTATTTAACTAGATGAATATAACCTCAGGAAAATTTGTACTACCATAATAAATACTAAACTTGAAAAGATATCAATCTTTGAGAATATCAGGGTAATTTTAGAAAGAACTAAGAAAAGTCAATCAATAAATTAGTGCCTTTCTTTTTATATGAAATAATTTTTTTTCTGGAAAAATATGGATTCTCCCTTAAATTGTAATAGGTTACCTTATAATTATGTCCAAAGTATCCAGTATAATGGATACTTTGGACATAATTTAAAAGCATATTTTCAATCATTAAAAAAATTCATTAGTACAAACCTGAACAAGAATCAAATTTTTTAAATTTAATAATGTAATTTTTTTTTAAAAAAAACCTGCTACAAATAAACATGACAACTTCAACGGGCTTACAATTTGTTGTTGATATTTTTTAAAAGTAGATTTTACGTATAATTTCAAATACATTATATTGCAGCTTCTATACTTCCACTTTATTATTTTAACAGTTTAAGTGTTTTTTTTTTGCCACAGCCTGTTCTAATAAAGCCTTTAGTAAACACACACACACACCCCCCAACAAGCTAAATAGGTAAAACACACAAAACCACATCAACCAAAATTATATACACAACACTAGCCTAATATTTTTGCATTTTAAGAAATGCAATATTTTTGCATTTTTAAGAAAACACCCACCTTCATCACAAAAAGACCAACTCCCAGACTAAAAAAAACAACCCAACAACAACCTACCCCAAGACTGAACAAAAACAGCAGTGCCCAAAGAAATACAATCTAGATCAATTCAAATTCAGAATTGCTAGTCTTGTAGCTGTATGCTTATTTTAAACTTTTTAAAAAGTATGAAACAATAGAATTCAAGCATTTTGTTTTTTGCAGATCAGTAGCTTTATATCTCATATTTTATTTTATACTAGAGGCCCAGTGCACGAAATTTGTGCACGGCAGGGAGGTGGGGAATCCCTCAGTGCCTCTCTCCAATCCGGGACCACTCAGGGGATGTCCGACCTCCCTGCAGGATCAGGCCTAAACCAGCAGTTGGACATCCCTTTTGCAATCTGGGACCACTGGCTCCTAACTGCTCACCTGCCTGCCTGTCATCCCTAACCACTCTGCCTGCCTGCCTGATCGCCCCTAACTGCTCTCCCGTGCCGGCCTGATCCCCCTAACTGCTCTCCCATGCCGGCCTGATCCCCCTGACTGCTCTCCCCTGCTGGCCTGATCCCCCTAACTGCTCTCTCCTGCCAGCTTGATTCCCTTAACTGCTCTCCACTGCTGGCCTGACCTCCCCTAACCGCCTCTGCCTCGACCCCACCACCATAGCTTTTTCCAGAAGGACGTCTGGAAGATGTCCGATCTAATTAGTATATTACCCTTTTATTAGTATAGATTCCTGGTAACTAATAAAGTACTAGGCACCTATAAGCAATTCAATATAGGTTCACTCAATGACTGATGACTAGATTCTTGAATCTAATTTGAAGACATGCAACAAAAAACTTAATCCCGTGTTTATTATTTCTATTAAGAAGTGCTATATATGAAAAAAAGCAAGGTCTATATTTTCCACACATTCTACACATTAAAAAACTCATAATTCTGGCTATAAAGACATAAAATTTTAAGCAATCTATGAGTGCACAGGGAAGGTATGCCCAAATGCAAGCTCATGCCTATACTTACACACACATACACACACACACACACACAAACACAGGCACAAGCTAAAAGACTAAAAGCATATTTACATGCTTATTCCATAAGTATATATTCAGATATATTGGTCTCCCCTACACATAACACAAATGGATGTTGGAAGCTCTATTCTTCTCTGTGGCAATAGGACATGATTTGCTGAAATAGTTTTTCTTATTTACTGAGAAATGAGTAAAAACTTATTTGGAAATTCAGTTTTATATTTTGTCTTTATTTAAAATTTTGTTTTAAAATATATTTTTACTGAGTTCAGAGGGGAAGGGAGAGGGACAGAGAGATAGAAATATCAATGATGAGAGAGAATCATCAATCAGCTAGCTGCCTCCTGCAGGCCCCATACTGGGAATTGAACCGTGACTCCTGGTTCATAGGTTGATGCTCAACCACTGAGCCATGCAAGAAGGGCTATTTTGTCTTTTAAAATCTGAATCCTTAGGCTGGGCTATTCTGTCTTTTAAAGTCTGAATCCTTAAAGGACTTCTACATTTTAAGTGTCAGGGTAAATATAAGCCTTTCCCCAAAGATTGAGGTAGTCTAGATGCACAATGACAATCGAAAGTGATCAATTTAAGAAATACTTTAAAACTATCATGATTAGTCACTTATAATCCACATTTTATGTGCTTTCTAAATTAAGTATTAAAGTCTGCAATGGGAAATACTAAAACCAGCAGTTCTTTAAATGCTTTGACAAAGTACATGGAAACCTATTTTCTCATGACTATTTCTGCTTTTTTTATTCTAAAGAGAGTAAGCTAGCCTGCCAGTAATCCTAATGGGAATTTAAGTACTTCACTAGGTTAATTCTGTATTATAATTCTATCTCCTTAAATATACATTAAAAATCTAACATTTTTTGTAAAATTGAGCCCTTATCTTTTTATAAAAATTTCAGTCTTTTTAATTAGTACTTACATTTGACATTATAAAATTTATACATCTATTATTTAATCCTCATAACTATAATTATGCTCACTTTGCAGTTAATGAAATGATGCTTTCAGCAAGTAACTTGTTAAGAAGCAGATGGCTAGCTAGCTCTGGCAATCTCCAAAACCCAGGTCCTTTTCCTAGCTTAATGTTTTACAGGGAGTCATTTACATTTCAAATAAGAGCTTTAAATGAATTAACAGAAAAACAGAAATATATTCTGAGGTGGAATGGCAAGAGTTGAGACAATAAATACATTAAAAAAATTGTTTTAAGGCAGTATTGTATCAAGACAAATGTAGTGAGAGAGAAAAATGCAGAAAATAAAAAGAGAATAAATTTGGTATGTATTAAAAACCTACTTAAATTATAATTAGGGCAAGAACAAATGCTGTATGGACTAATAGGTATAATAATTACATATGGTAAAGAAACAATATTCCAGCTTCAGGTTCTTCATAATATTAGTCCCCAATAACTTTATTAAACTTAAATAATTGAAAGTACACTTTGTATTACCTTGTAACTATTTTTTTTTATTCCTGAAGATAAATAAAAATGGTCTTAGTAATGTAACAGTTTAATTCAAGTCTTGAATTTGTAATAAATTTCATATAAACCTGTGGTTCATAACTACTGATTTTAATATATACTTTATACTTATAAAGTATCTCCACATATATCAAGTTTCAAAAATGCACATTAATTCAAAAAGGTCATTACTCATCCTATAATAAAAGGCTGATATGCAAATTGACCAAACGGCGGAACAACCGGTAGCTATGACCCGCACTGACCACCAGGGGGCAGACGCTCAATGCAGGAGCTACCCCCTGGTGGTCAGTGGGCTCCCACAAGCCGGGCTCACAGCTGACAAGCGCAGCGGCAGTGGCAGGAGCCTCTCTTGCCTCTGCGGCAGCGCTAAGGATGTCCGACTGCTGGACATTCCCTGAGGGCTCCCGGAATGTGAGAGGGGGCAGGCAATGCTGAGGGACCCCCACAAGTGCACAAATTTTATGCACTAGGCCTCTAGTTTTATATAAAATGGGTAATGATGCTATTTCCATCTGGTCTTAAGCTGCTACTTATTTCCACAAGTTGAAGGGAAAATTAAGAAATAAATTTTATGTAAAATAATCCTATATAATAAAGAGGTAATATGCAAATTGACCATCATGCCCTTGCACAAGATGGCCACCCCCATGTGGTCAAAGATGGCCACCACAAGATGGCCGCCATGGGAGGGCAGTTGTGGGCAACCAGGCCAGCAGGGGAGGGCAGTTAGGGGCAACCGGGCCAGCAGGGGAGGGCAGTTGGGGGGCAACCAGGCCGGCAGGGAAGTGCAGTTAGGGGTGACCGGACCGCAAGGGAGGACAGTTGGGGGCGACTGGGCCAGCAGGGGAGCAGTTAGAGGGTGATCTGACTGGCAGGCAGAAGTGGTTAGGGGCAACAGGCAGGCAGGCGAGAGGTTGGGAGCCAGCAGCCCCGGGTTGTGTCCAACTGCCGGTTTAGGCCTGATTCCACAGGGTCGGGGTCACAGATTGGAGGGGGTGCAGGTTGGGCTTAGGGAGCCCACTCCAGTGTACGAATTTTGTGCACCGGGCCTCTAGTTGTTTAGATAACTATGATTATATTAAAGTTTTTAAAAATGAAAAAAAAACAACTTTCTGTATTATGTTTAAATTTGTTGTTTACTAAGAAAGGTAAGCTTTACTAATCGCGGTGATAACCTCCATAGCTATTTGCTTAAAGTTTCCTAATATGAAAGGACTATTTTAGTGCCTAAAAAAGATAAATATAAATAGTTAAATATATAATCTAGTATAGGAATAAGGTCATTAGTTAATCATGTTTTAAAAATAAAACACACCAGTTTCTCCCAATATTTTCTGCAGTCAGAGGTTTTGAGATCAGATTTTACTGTCATATTTTTACCATAACAGGGAAATAAGACAAAAACAGAAACACGACAGATCACATACACTAACATAGTGACTCTAGTCAAAATATAGTCCATATTTAACACATTCTGTATACAATGTTAAAAATATCTTCAAAGAATAACTATAAATACATGTTATACCTGGAACTGAATTATTTTATAGTAAATAGGGGAGCCATCTGCAATTGCAGAAACACAAGTAATATTTTATCTCCTATGAAAAAATTACTTTTGATGAATTTAATAATAAAAACAAAACATAAACCAGATTAAAGGGGAGTATTTCCTTTTACTCTTTTACCAATGGACATTTTAAAACAGAAAAGTACATAAAACACTGCCATTTTGGATACTCATAGTGCCTTCGATATTTCACTGTTACACTATAATGTAATGCTATTAGACTATGGTGCACATATTTTTATTAATACTGAAATAAGGGAATGAGTGTTTTAAATCTTTTTAATACATACAACAAACTATTTTCTAGAAAAATCGTACTAATACTTCAATCACTCAAACAGAATCCTCATAAGAATAGATATTCATCACTTAATTTTTCCCATTGATATTGAGGTGAGAGAAAGTAGCTGGAGATTTTTATGGTTTTAAATTTACATTATCTCTAGTTAGTGGTGAATTTGAACATTTAAAATATTAATATATTTTAATCCTTTTATTTTTATTTCCCATCTACATCATTTGCACATTTTCATAATAGAATATTTCTCACATATTTTTATGAATGTTATATATTACGAATATTAACCCTTAATTTGCCATTTATAGCAAGTCATTTTTCCATTTATTTACCTTTTAATTCTTATGTACCTAACAAAAAGTAATTAATTTAAAGTTTTAAAGAAAAATTCTCAATAGCTATCCAATTTTCCCTACATTTCCTGGATAACCTGCTCCATTCTCCATTGGTCTAGAATTCTTTGTGTTCACATTAAACTCTTTTATACATAAATTTCTATTTCTGGGCTGTCTTACCCAGTCTGTTGATCTGTAGGTATATTTCTGGGTCAGCACTATGCTGTGCGAATTCTTGTATCTTTATAAGAGGTTGTGATAGTTGATTAATACTTTCTCATGATTTTTCCTTTCCAAATTATTTTGGCTATTCTTATACATTTATAATTCAGATGCATGTTAAACAAATTTTGTCAATTAACCCAAATATGAATTTTAAGGGAAAACTAATTAAAACTATATATTCAATTAATGGTATTATTTTAAAGATTATTTCATACACAGCTTTAGTCTTTTTGAATCTATTCTTTGGGATAATCAGATGCTATTTATGAACTGGACAAGTAGTACAAATATTTAACTACATAAAATCTGTTAACCTAATATATAAACCATAATGTATATAGCCAAAAAATAAAAAAGGATAATCATGTCTGGATTAAAGTTCTTCCTATAATTTGACTGGACTAATTAAAATAAAAGCTTTCTTTTTATCCTTTTCTATAAAATAAAAACCATGCTAATTTTCCAGGTAATAATCCCAGGTCAGAAGATCTAATGAAGTCCAAGTTATTTTTGATAAAGCACACAATTCCACTAACTTTTACAAATTCCAAGATTCTAAATATGATTCAGGATGGGGCAAGGGAACTGCTTCTCTGAACTTTTTAAAGAAACACTGATTGCCTTTTTATAATAAACATAAAAATGTGTAAGCTTTACAGTTGAGAATCACTGGTATACACTTTTCAAAAATACTACCTACATACTAGAGGCCCAGTGCACAAAATTTGTGCATTCGGGGGGGCGGGGAGGTGGGTCCCTCAGCCCGGACTGCGCAGTCCGGGAGCCCTCGGGGGATCCTTAGTGCTGCTGTGGAGGTGGGAGAGGCTCCCACCACCGCCACTGCACTCGCCAGCTGTGAGCCTGGCTTCTGGCTTGGCGGCACTCCCCCCGTGGGAGTGCACTGACCACCAGGGGGCAGCTCCTGCATTAAGTGTCTGCCTCCTGGTGGTCAGTGAGCGTCACAGCAACCGGTTGTTCTGCTGTTTGGTCGATTTGCATATTAGCCTTTTGTTATATAAAAGAATTGTAGGTGATTACATATCTAGTTCTAAAATGACATCTGAATTTATATTCTTTCTAAAAATTTGAATTCTAACAGATTTCTATGTATTGGAATGTAAATCTAACAGATTTGTGTTTAGAATGTAAAATTCTAAAAGTACTGTATTTTATTTTAAGTACTGTAGTATATGTATTGTATCAAGGGAAAGTTTGTAACTGTGTGTTCTTTCCTGTGAAGTTACTCCTAGAAAATCCGACCATTAATTTTTAAAAATTCAATTAGTGCATTAAGACTTTTATCCTAAATTTTGGATACAAGAGATTTTTTGCAACCACAATAGGGCGAGCAATTAGACAAAGAGTTTTTAAGATTCAGTGCTTACTTTCTGTTGTTGATGTTGTTATAATTATTTGATAGAGATGAAGGAGAGATCTTTGGTAAAGTTGAAAAATTGGATGCACCTGGGGACCTTTAAAAATATGAAAATGTTAAATTAGATAAAAAATGCTGAATTTTGAAATTAATTATGAAATAAAGAAAAGAACCAACAGATGACAATGTATGTAGTAAATGAATGCTGGAAAACAAATTCATGAGCAAAATCACTATAGATTTTTTGGCTTTCAATTTCCAATGTATTCTTTTATATAAAAAATAATGGTACAAAGGAAACTACTTTCAAAAGAAATTTATGAAATAAATATGCAACTTGCTATTACTCTTACAGATATACTAACCCAATAACACTAATTTCTACTTCAGGTAACCACTATGAATATTTTATAATCAACAATTTGCTTAAATCCATGGAACTAAAGTATTATTTTTTAAGGAAATATGTAAATAAAACCACTTGTGTCTCAAGTTAGAATGCCACCATGGATTGGATAGCATGAAAATTCAAAACATAATCCCCAAAAGTAATTTTTGGGCCGCTTTCTCTGCAAAAACAGAAAAGACATAAATCTGACTGTATGTTACATACCTCACTAATTCAGAATCTTTTTGGAGAAGTCTCAGTTATTAGCTTTTAATTAATTACTAGCTCTTAATCAAATAAAATGCTTTAAAAGCATGATTTATAATCAACAAATCCATTATAAAGTACTTAAAGGTCTATGAAAGATTTAATTTAATTTTATAAACAATTTTAATTTACTAGGCATCATCTAGCCTATAGTCTGTAAAAAGATAACTTTCAGTCTAGTATCTCAATCATCATAAATTCTAAATTAGTGAGGCACACGTGATTATTTTTAAAAATTATTTTATTTCCTCTACTCAGGTGCTAATGAACAATGAAATGGTCAATATGCAGGAAAGTACAATCTATAAAACTAGCTTTTAGTAATCTGGATTTCACTAAATCTACATAACTGCAGAATAAATGGTGGATAGTAAAATTTCTTTCATACAGACATTTTAATTTAACTTTTGAAGTTTTATATATTATAAAATTTTGGTAAATTTTTTTCTTCATTTTAAAGGAGGTTCTTTCTGTTTAAACAGGCTGTTCATAGGTAGGTTATATTAAGTGAGACTTAATTAGGTACCTTTCTAACAGAAGACTCTTACAAGATTTTATTTTACTATATTAAGCTCAAGATACAAAATATGACGAACCAAATTCTAATATAAAACACAGTAGAGAACCTACTTAAAAGGTACTTTTGTAGTTCTAGTATTCTAAGGCAAATAAAATACATTTTATTTGACCCTTACTAGTTTTAAAATATTAATAAAAATATAGGAATATCATGACATTCCCCCCTTCATGTTAAGAATGCTAAATTAGAAAATAACTAAATTAGACATTGAGGCATAATAAATTAAAGGAGGTTAATTTTTGAAAATGATACCCATTTGGCTATAATTTAATTCATTACAACTTTTCAGAGATATAAACTGCAATGTTCCCTTGAATTTAACTTATAGCAAAAATTATGGAAATAAAGATATATTATGTCATCCAATAAAGTGGCTGAGACACATACAAAGGGCAGGGAAAAGCAGTAAAAAGGCCCCAGGTGGGCAGAAAAAGAAAATAATATACAGAGTGGGGCAAAAGTAGGCTTACAGTTGTATGAAAAATAATATAATAATTAATGAATAAAAATATAAGAATAAACTGTTTTGTGTATTCACAACTATAAAATAATATATGGAGACTGCCCCACTCCGTACATTATTTTCTTTTTCTGCCCATCTGGGGACTTTTTACTGTTTATCAGCAACTCTACCTAAGGACAGTATTGTAAGTTTTTATGAAATTCATTAAAACATTCAAACATTGATTAAAAACTTCACCCCTGGCAAGTATTAGGAGTTTAAAGACAGAACTCTTCCTGACCTCAAACAGCTCACAAATTAATGGGAGAAAATGATACATAAGCAAAATAAATTCTGTGACAAAATTTAAAATTGTAACAAACTATAAAATTTTTGTGGATAGTAATATGCAGCAATTTTTAAATGATGCGCACAGATGGAGGTGTAGGTAGGAACTGAAAGTGAGAATATTCCAGGTAAAAGAACAGCACATGCAAATGCATGAACTGTAGATAATATGATGTTTATAGGGAATAAATTCAGATTGGATGAAAGAGTAAGAAGTATATAGTGATAGGAGTAGAAGTTAGTAACGTAGGTATGATAACATAGGACCTTTTATGTTCTATAAAGGAATTTGGGTTTTATCCAGTTGTGCTAGTACAGTCCATGGTCCCTTAGGGGACTCTAAGAACCTTTCAGGGTGCCCATCTATGAGGTCAAAACTATTTCTGTAATAAGACCAAAGTGTTATTTAAGTGTTATTTGATCCCTTTCACTGGGTGGATATTTGCACTGACAGCTTAAAAACAATGATGGGTAAAACTGCTAATACATTAGCATGAATTAAAGCAGTAGCACCAAACCATGTACTAGTATCATTGTATTCTTCACCACACTCCCAACCCTACACTAGAAAATACAGTTTCACTTAAGAATATCTATGTTGAAAAATAAAAGTTACTGATTTGATTAAACCATGACCTTTAATTAAACTTCTTTTAATATTGAGTAATAAATCAGAAAGTTTTCATAAAGCACACCTGCTACATACTGAACATGGTTGTCATGAGAAAAAAGACATTTATCTGAATTTCAAGTGAACTATCCTCTTTTCACTCTTTTACATAAAATGCTATCTGGCAGACATTTTCTCAAAAATACATGAAGGGAGCCTGTTACTTTAGGAAAACAAAACTTGAGCTTGATAGCTTCCCACTACTTAAAGTTTTCTCATTAAAACTGGATGTTTTAACAAGAGTAATTAAAAAAAATTATATAATGATTTATGTCAACATTTGGAATACCTGTAAAATTCAGTGAATCAAAATTTTCCACTGCATGAAGTTACACATGACAGATTTCAATGTAATAAAATAAAAAGTTCATCGACATGATATCAGATTCCACATCGCAATTAACCTTTCATCATTAAACCACCATGGGCTGAGTTCTGTCTGACATGGTATCAACTATCAAAAACAAAACAAAACTCCTCCCTGTTCTAACTATATATTTGTGCAATGCTGAATTTATAACCCAAACAATATATCACAAAAAATTCAATGCAGAAGCAGCTAAGAGAATTTAGCAAAAATTTAGAAATGTATTCTCAGTACATTTTTTGTTTTAGAAAGTAGTTATTTTCACATATATGTAGTTATGTCAATATATAATAGTGTAGTATTACTTATAAATAAATAAACATTTATTTTTAATTTCTAAAATACAGGCATCAATAGATATAACACATATGACAAAAGTTCTTTGGATCCTTAATAACTTTTGAAAACTTTGGGTTAGGAGGTAGAATCTGTAAGACAAGTTGACTAATTAAATAAAAGAAATAAGATTAAAGGAAGAACTTAAGATGGCTCTCAGATGGTACCTGAAATAAAGAATAATAGGATATGGATATAGTTTAGGTTGAAAGGATGGAAGAACATGGGTTAAAAAGATTTTAAGTTCAATCTGACATTGTGAACTCTACCTGACATTTAGGAAAAAATATGAAATTCAGCAGAGAGCTCTAGGTTAAAAATATGAAAAGGAATATTGGTGTCAGTTTGAGCTAAAAAACAGGATTAGCATAGAGTCCATCCACTGATTTTGAGAGCCTATTATTATGGTATGAAAAGAGAGGTGCTCAGATGGAAATTTGTGGAATATTAATGCATTTAAAGTGTGAGAAGTGCTACTGCATATGTTCAGTGAAGTTGTATAATGCACAGTGCCAAGGAGGACCTTTTACATATATTACAATGTGAACAACATCCTCAAGAACTGTGTAGTATACAACCTGCACAACCAAACATAGCAGCCCAGGAGAGGAAGAGAGCCAGCCAACCAGAGGATTGGTCAGAGAGGTAAAAATAGTGCTTGAAAAACTGGGGTGTAATAGTTTCAAATTAAGATAAATTTTTTAGAAGATAGTTACCAAAATTAAGTCTTAAAGAGAGGTCAAATAAACTAAGTTACAAAAAAAGTCAAATAAAGAGACTTTGTTAAATTCTGAATGGGTAGTAAGAAATTTTACTGTTTAAATAAATTAGCTGTAAAATAAAAAAAGTAAAAAATCGTATTTGGGGGAAGTTTATGTCTTTATAAAAAAGATGGGAGAGGTTTATTTACATTTATAGGCTTGGGGAAGATGATTCCGGACAAGAAACAAAGAATGGATGAGTATTATTTGAGTGTCTACTGTATTGTGGCAGTATGCTAGGCATTTGTATAGTTAGGAGAGAAAAGACAACAGAAGAAAAAACAAAGTCTAGGAACCACTGGAATAAACAACTTTACTGGAGAGATTGCCCTTAAATAGCACGGAGATTAGAGAGGGAAGAATGGATGTGGTCCACAGGTAATTTTAAAATATGATAACACTTCTTAAATGCTGTTACAGACATTATTAATCACTTATCGATTCTGATTTCCAACTTCTGACCTAGATTGCACATAGCCCAATCTAGCTAACATTGTGGAGTGTGTTTTTTTTTAAGGGTTGGCTAGTCAGTCTGTGCATTATAACCTGAGCCCTTTAGCTTTCTTCCATTGATGTAATTTGGATATTACACTGTCCATTAGCAACTTTGCTCTAGTGGCTTTCTAAAAAGAGAAGAGAGAAAAACGTTTAGAATATTACACGTAGATATTAAGCCATAGATACTAAATTTAACTAACCTAGGGTTAAACTAATTTTTGCTAGATTGAGGTAGATGTAACATAAGGCAGTGACTTATCTCTTAAACAAGACAGAAAAAGGTAAAACATCAACGTAACATAATTTTATAAAGAGAGAAAATTAAACTTTATCCCTTACAAGTGAATGCAATATTTGAATTTCCCTATCCTAATGTTATAATGAAAATCATGCAATTAAGACTAAGTTAAACTTGACTTTAACAGAAAAAACACAGCTTA